CCCTTCCGGACGCTGATAGACCATTGGAGCCGCATCGCACATAAGCGGCTTTTGATGGGGATTCAATCGAGTGATGCGGCTTCGGCTGTATTATTCAGTACAATGCCCACACCACACTGTCTTACTGAACGGGCTTCGTCATCACCTGACGCGCGGAGGAAGAACCTCGAGGACAACCCCGGTGCTTTTAAGTGGCATATAGTACTAAGATACTGGATTCGAGTCTCCGATACGCAGCAGACATCAATTCCCAAATAGTCCATTGTACGTGCCGGACATGCTGGTTGACCTACCTGCAACGGAGTCCTCACGTTCAAGGCCCCCAGATTCAGTGGCTGAGGAGGCTTCAGAATATGCAATCTATTTTGTGGTAAACTACTTACCGAGCTATTTGGCAACGAACTTTGGCGAGTGACGAACAAGTTGTCTGGGGGAATGTTATGGGTTGAAAGAAAGAGTAAAGGGTTTGGGTACGGAAGATAAAGAGTTGCACAAAGGTTGGGATATCTGAGCAGTATCCCACTTATCACTATGCACCTCGCTCGATGCAATGGGCATCGCGGTCCTGATTATCCTGCGCGATGACCGATGCAGTATTACTCAGTGTCTCTAACCTTCGGTGACCATCATCTCGGGGTCCCCAGCCAAGGAACCTACCAGGGCCTATGTGACCGAGCCTCATGGTTAGGGTTTTCATACCCTCATGCCAGGTCTTTGTTTGACCACCCTTGACCTTTTATCAACCGCCGCCTGCCTCGGTTAACATCGCTCACCGTGGCAACCGACTTGGTGACATGCGTAACACATGCCCCAACCAAAGTAATCTATGGACGTTGATCACTTGCTCCAGTGGACGACCGCGACTGCCAATAGCGGTATAAATTTTATCTTACAAAGCTGAGAAACACTTACCACGAAGTTCATCTTCGTCGTCAGTGAAAACAGCTAAACCAAAATCAGTCAGCTTGATGTTCAAATTATCGTCAAGCAGAATGTTTTCTGGTTTTAAATCCCGATGAACAATAAGTTTGCTGTGTATGTGAGCAACTGCGTCAAACAACTGCCGCATGAATGCACGTGTACGTTTCTCCGAAACAGTAACTTTCCGGGTCAAATAGTCAAACAGCTCACCGCCTGTACATCTGAACGAAAAATGATCATAAAAACTAAACAACGTACACTTCGAAGACCAAAAAAATATATGCGTCTCCTTCAAACACATCATGCAGCTCGATTATGTTCGGATGTCCGGAAACTCGGCGTAAAATCGACACTTCTCGCATGCACTCGGATCGAATAACATCCGGAGCGTCAACGCCGCTGTTCAAGTCCAAAATTTTCACAGCAAATTCGCGCTGGGATTCTTTTTCCACACATCTTCTTACTGTACTACTAGCGCCAGACCCCAAAACATCTTTCACTTCATATTTGGAATAAAAAGATTTGGCTAGGCTTGTATCCAGAACAGCATTATCCTTTTCGAGATCCAGAACAGTCATGATTCAGAATTGTAAGAGTTGTGAAAAGACAGTTTCCGAAAATTCTCCTTGGTCCAATCGATGTGTCCTAAGTAAAGTTGTTTTGTTCTAAAGACTCAGGTTGATTTCATTCAGTCTTGAGGAGAGAAAATTTCAATGAACTAGATCCAACCAACAGCACGACAAAAATGTGCAAAAAATTATCACCGGATCTAAAAGGACAATTCCAAAAATAACAGGCGTTAGAGACAAGATAGCGACCGATTGAAAATATCATCAAAAATAAATACGACAACCAACCGATGTCCTTATTGCGAGACTCAAAAAACTGACTCGTCAGGCAGTCGGACCAAGGCAAGTTCGAGGAGACCAAAGAAGCGCCCGTAGAGAAGCCGTTTCAGATCTAACACGTAAGGATCGAATAGTTGTGATTCCGAGGGTTGGATATTGAAACTAACAAACAAGGCAGCGGAACGTAAACGAGGGAACATAATACTGACTGAGGGCAGTCTAACTTAAATGAGTGCCCTTCCCCAATGAAGCGTAACAACTCTTGTCGTCCTGGAGAAAAACCCAATTTCCCGTTTATTTTGTGGAGCTTATCGACCTACTGACTGATTTCTTCCCTGTCGAGTTGCAAGAGTGAGCACCTAAATAGCATTCGTATTTTATTCACGCTGTTGCCATAGTTTAACAAACTAATTTTTACATTGGTGACATTATATTCTTGACAGATTCACAAATAACAGAACTCTAAACATTTTTTTTCATTTTGGGGGTGGGTGTCTAGGGTTGCGGCTGGTTACCCTGCCCTTGCACCTTCCGAAATACTCCCATACGAACAAGCACCTAAAACAGCCTCTGCTGAGAAAGCCCTATTCACTGCCTTCTCGTGGCGGAGGTGGTTTTGCACTAAAGTGAAAGGACGAAAAGCCGACAGCCGG